TCAGGACTTTCACAAGATCACGTACCAGGATGTGGTCTCAATTTTTACAGTCAGTTTAAGGTTATTCGCCCACTTCTTAGATGGGTTGGCCAAGAAAACATATGGTCAATCGGAAAAGGAAAACCACGGGAAAAGTGGAAACATATAAATGACTAATTAAATTGGGCAGATGGTTTCTCCCGTCCGGCCTTCTTGGAGAGGGGTGTGTTGTGGTCAACACACTTCCGTGGGAATGACACTTAGTCGGACCCAACATCTTCAAATGGCACTCTAACAGGGTCCGACAGACCCATTAATTAGAACATCATGGCATCCCAGCAATAGTGCCAGACTTGTTAAAAAGTTACTTGCGTGGTAGATCCCAATAATATGTTTTGTTTAATTCTGTAAAAAAAGAATTGCCAAGTACTTGTGGTGTCCCACAGGGCTCTGTATTGGGACCCTTATTATATCTTTTGCACGTTAATGACGTCTGCAATACTTCGGAGCTGATCACATATTGCCTATTTGCAGATGACACAAGCTTATTATAATTCTGACAAACATGTGGATTTAACTATTCAGATTCTCAACGCTGGGCTCCTGAAAATCACTTTTTGGCCATTGGCCAGCAAATTATGCGTAAATGTACTTCAATCAAATTATATCATATTTACAACATTTAATACACTCAGTCTTTACCCTTGATTTTATGTGATACCACTCTCGAGCAGATAAAGGACATCATATTTTTGGGAACCCATATTGATAAAAAACTAACTTGGAAAAAGCGTATTGGCGACATTACGGCTAACACATCTAAAAAATATTATGAACCGTCTAAAACATTTTCTACCCATGTAGTAGCATATTACTCATATTATATAACTGTTTTATTTTACCGTATTTGAATTTCTCTATAATGAATTTGAGTAGTTCAACTCCTAAATGTAATAGACTGCTCACTCTGCAGAAACGAGCAGTGAGGGTGGGTTTCTTGAACACTCCTTGAACTTGAAACTACTAAAACTCAACTGTGTTATTTTAACCAACGCAAAGTTGTGTATAAATATCATGAATCATGCATTACTTACTTGTTTCAATTCCTGTTTTACATTAACCTTAAATATTCATTCCTACAATACCCGCAGTACAACTGGTCACAAACCTTATGTTAGCTTTTGGAGAACTTCGTTGTCCAAAACAGTGTTGTCCAACGTGGTACTCCATACCTATTTTCTCAAATTATCATCCACTCTTCATAGCTGAACATTGTAGTTGGATAATAACAGAATACTGTCTTCCACCTTTTTATGTGCTTTGGCTTTATGTGTGTCTCTCGTCTGCTTGTCTGTCCATAGACTGGAGAACAAAAGGTGTTGCTTCACTCCGAACCTAAATGTTGCCTTAAGTTTAAAGTTCAAATTATATTAACTGTCGATATATAGTATATATTGAACATGATATGCCAATGTGATTGTGTCATTGTATCACCCTTCATGGACTATGGCAGCATTGAAATTAAATAATGTAAATCTTCTAAGAAACCTCATCTAACGTACACGGGAAAATACATTGGCTTCATATAGTCTTTTCTTGCAGCAATTATCATTGAAATTCATCGTTTGTGCTCTCCTCGACAGCTCAAAATACATCGTTATGATTTCTGAAAACATTCCATTTTGTATAAATGAATCTGAAATGGCCAGAAATTAATGCAACAAGATTTTATTGCCACAAATTGCGTATGCGATAGCATAGAAGCTCTGTCATGAATGTATGTGATATAATTATGTTTATGATTAAACATTCAGGCGGTGCAATATTTCCAATTAGGTTAACCCAGGCCTAAGCGTGTTTACCATGTAATACTGCGTCATGCACATAGCTGTCTTTGTGCAATTTTGTCATATTCGTTGAAATTTAAATTCAAGAAATCTGAGGTTTGGTAAATAAATTTTAAAACGTACAAAATCTGCTCGATATTCAAACCGTTTCATCAATTAGTAGGCTAGTTTCATCGAGCCATGCTCACTAAAAAGTGCTAACTAAAAAGTTAAATAATTTTCCAAATGTTATACTTTCAGATAATAAGATGCTTTGTCCACTTCAAACCAAAGGACCTAAAAGAACTCTCATGGAAGTTAGGGTGGTAAAATCCGGTGTTTTCCAAATGTTTTTCCTTGGAGAAATGTTACTATGCAACTGAGGAGAAAGCGCCAAATGCTCACAAAGTAAGTGTTCTTACTGAAAAAAAAATCAGATTCCATGAAGAAACTGCAAGAAAGCGATTTATCTCAAATATTTGTTGTTTAGAATTTCAACGTGTATTTATTGTGTTTTCACTTTGCTGCGAATTATTGCATCCACTTATACTTTATCTTGATTATAATTCAATGTAAACCGTTTATTGATTGGATAAGCTATCGCATCCCGATACAAACTACAAACCACACAAACAGCGTCTGCATGCGGCAACTGCGCCCACTGTGTTTTGTTAGCGTGTTTCTCATTGGTCAATATTTTGCACGTAAGTGCGCACACTCTATACGTATTAAAAGGATCCAGGAAATGATTTTTTTCTGTGAATCACTTTTTGTGCATCTCTGCACTCTTCTTCATGTATAAAGACTGTTTAACATCTTTTTGAGTAATGTGAACCGAAAGGAGCACTTTTTTTAAACATTCCAAATTGACCAAGCATTGATGGAAAAGTGAGGGCGCTTTTGCTTTGATGTAAATCCAGGAACACGTGGTTCAGGTAGCGTGTTTTCATGTTTAAATTGTGAACTCAAAATTTGATATCTGAAAAACATCCCTGTCAAAAGGATGATTGCTGGCTTATTGGCCATATACTTACAAAGCAATAAATTTCCAAAGACAATGAAATCTATACTGTAGCGGCAGCGCTTGCGCC